ATACTGTAGTGAAGCTCCACGTAACAGTAGGTAATGCGAAAGCACACGACTTTCGCGTCATCGTAGGCTCGTATTACTACTAGCGCACCCCCTATGCTATAAATGTTAACGAGTTCGGTCTGTATATGGAATGCTACGGGTCGCGGAAGATGTAAATGCACTCATTATTATCACTTTCACAGTCCCTGTTCGTCCCATGCATATAAGTCTGACGGGTGGGGAAAATGAACATTTATCCGAACATTATCCGTATAAAACTGATAGAAGGATAGAACGCGGAAGACGGTTCGAGGACGATAGAAAGATGACGGAAGAGAGACGCCGAAAGCTTGCCTAACGTATCTCCACCGACGGACCGCCACGACTCAAGACCACCTCTGAAGAAACTGGCGTTGGCCGAAGAGGATGAGTTGGGTGTTACCTGCCCACCCTTGTCGGTGAAAAGTGGTCTGGAAGAATGGGATTCCGACAATGCTACCAGTGCGCGCTTACTGAACCCTGTAATGTCCCCCGGATACTGCTCCCTAGTCCAAGAGGAGTCCGCTGGCCTGGTTCAGAGAACGCCTACCTGGAACGAACCCCGTGTACCCAGGCACACAGTGATCGCTACGATTACTGTAGCGAACGGAGGGACACGAGACCTGAAGCACGCGTACCTAGAGTATACGCGGGGGATAGAAGAAAGCGAATGAACAGCGACGGATCGTTTCTTCCGACAACTTCAAGAGGACCAAGCTCGCCTCTTGGACTCCCGGGAAACAAGACTCGTCGAGATGGCTGAGAACATGACTCGAGCAGCCGAGGCACATGAACTCCATCGACAAGGTGTATTCAATGAAGCTCTAACGTACCTTCGAGACGGGCTCGCTCGGGAACTTGAAGTGGCCCGTGCGCAAATGACGAATGAAGCAAACGAGGCATTCCACGTCGAGGTGAAGAAGAACGAGAATGAATGGACCTCCCGGATGCAGGACCTTCAAGAACGGTTGACGTCGGAATGGGAAAGCCAGAAGGCGCTTATCCTCCGGGAAAGGATTCTCAGGTAGCTATGCTAACACAGCAGTCCGCCGAGAAACTTCGCTCGATACGAGCGGAGGCAGCTCACGCCATGGAAGTCCGCCACATGGAGGAGACCATTCACCACGAAAGCGCTCTGAACCAGTTGCGAGAAGATCTCCGTTCAGCGAAGCGAGCACACGTGGAGGATGTCCAGCTCTTAGCGGGGGAATCTCGGAAAGACATCGCAACGTCGGAGTCGGTTTACGAAGCACGAGACGAACAAAGAGCCCAGGAACTTGCCTCCTCTCGGGCCGAAGTACTCATGAAGTCAGCCGAGCTGGAGCGAACGAATACGGCCTTACACGAGATTCAAGCAGCTGGACTCGTTCGGTCCGAATGTGGGAGTTGCCCTGTCCTCCAAGAAGAAATCCAAGTCCTCCAAAGAAGGATTAGAGCGCTCGAAACTACTGTCAGTAACGAGGTCAACCGAACCGAGGGACTTGAAGCCTCCCTCGCCGAGGCAGGCAACTCACTCCGCGTCAGCGAACAGTGCACTCGAGAAGCCGTCGAACAGCTGGACCATGAGAGAGTTCAATTCCAACTGGCCCTGCAGGAACAACAAAAGAGCCGGCTCGACCTTGAGCGGACAACAGAGGATCGAGTCCGTGTCATGATTACGGAACGAGAATCGAAAGGAGCCGAAGAAGTACTACTGGAACGGACTCGAGTCGAGGCCGAACGAGGTCAGTTAACTCTAGAGCGTGCAGCAAACGAAGAAGTCTTGGCGCGTATCTTTGAAGGACTGGCGAACCAAGACGCTAACATGCGTCTCCTCGAGGATGCTGAGGAACAATTGCGCAGTGATCGGGAAAATCATGAAGCTATGTTAGCTCAAGCCTACGCCCAACTTGGACGTCAGTAAACAAACCTCGAGATTGAGAAGCGCAACGCTACCCTCAAATCACAGGCCGAGCGCATTCGACCGAGCCCGATACTGACTCCCTACGGTACCCCTTCAGCCTCTCGGAAGGGATCTCCCACGAAGGGTGCCTTCGTCCACTTACGTGTCAGCCACCATGGCTCCTGGCTCGGTCTCCGTAGTCTCGACCCCTCGCCGAGCCTTTGATTACCTCGAACGTCCACACTTCATGCAGCAAACCGAGACAATCACAGAGTCCACATCGATGCAACCACCATTGTATCACTACCCGGTGGTCGTCCCACCCGTTTCAGTGGCTCCGCCTCCGGCGACACGTCCAGAGTACAGCATGTTTGGTCAAACGGGGAAAGGACCTCTCAATATGCCGAAACCGGGGAGTGCGAGCTTCGACAATGGGCCCTCTAGATACCCCTCGGCAAATCAAGGAAATTCTGGCCGACAACCAGGCCAAGGACCCAGCGGAGGGCCTGGAGGAGACCCTCCCCATGATTCCAACGGACCTGGGGGATACAATCAAGGTAGCAATGGGAGGTTTTCTGGACGACACGGAGGACCACCATCTGGACCTCCAGGAGGAGGGGGTGACTATGGAGGTGGAGGGGGACCGCCTGGAAACCCTTACCCTTCTCAACCCACCTCGGACGCGGCTCGGCGATCTTTGGCTCGGCAGGCAATGACCGATGCACGGAAGGACGCCGACGCCCCGAAACTATACAGTGTGGACCGAACGATCCCTCTCGAGCATTTCCTTGCCCGGTTCGACGAGCTACTTGAAGAGTACGACATTACTGAGACTCAACTTGTCCGCATTTTCGACGATCGGTTAACTTCCTCAGGGGTCCGCTCGGTTCAAGATTGGTGGGCCCGCCGCTGTCGTGACTCCGAACAAAGCTCTTGGTCTGCAGCGCGAGAGGCGTTCCGCAAAGAATTCATCCAGAAAACAATGAGTCGAAAGATGTCCGAAATCACCGAGAACGCTCGACGAAAGCGGACTGAGACAGTGCGTGATTATGCCTGGCGGATCGCCGACGCAGCGCGCGATGCTGGACTACAATCTGACCGAGCTGTAGTCATGCTGATCAACGGATGTGATGACTCCCAAGTCTCGAATTGTCTCCGAGGGGCCGCAACACGCCCCGAGTCGATCGAAGACAGCCTTGAATACTTACGATACCGCGATGTAGATCTCGATCGTCGGCTCGATGGCTTGCGGTCAACAGTGCGTTCAGTAAATGGCGAAACCACGGCTCCGACAACTCCCACGAGGTCGAACCGAGGGACACCACGAGCCTCGGCGGCCCCGATCAGTGACATCCAAGAACTACACGCTACTTTGTCACAAATGCGACAGGAGATGTCCACGATGGCGGCCCAGCAAGAGACGCTACAAAACGATCGCTTCTCTACACTCCACGACGTCGTGGCTCAGATTCAGTCAGAGCAGCAGATTCAGTCCGAGCAACCGGGTGTAAACACGCCTGTGCAACCGCCGCATCCGTCAGAACAAGGATGAAGAGACTAAGTCTGGTACGGTGGTGTGCGGACGCTGTCAGCTGATGGGACACCCTCGTGAAAAATGCATACGAATTTCGTGGTTTTGCCGAGTGTGTAGAACCAAGGGTCATCATCCCTCAGAGTGCACGGTACCTCAGCCCGAACGAACGGGAGTGTCGGACCAAGGTTTCCGTCGTCAGAGCTACGGACGATCTACACGCGGTTCCCGCACCAGCGGCATGGAGTGTTACTCGTGTGGCAAGCTTGGACACCTCAGCCGAGAATGTCCACAGCGAAACCGAACCTCGTTAACTACCCCGCAAATTGTGGCAGCCATCCAGGCTATGGTTGCCTCCGGTTCTCAAGACAACTCGCCGGGGATGGGCGAGTTGAACGAGGATCAACAATGAGGACGCAGGGATCAGGACCAAGCCGCCGGACGTGGCGTGTACCTGATCGAACCGAACGAAATAACATCCGACGACGAAGACACTCGGCTGATCGAGTCTGAATCTGACCCAGGATCCAATGGGTTGGGGGCACAGATCACGCAGCGGAGTCAATTCACAACCGAGTTTCGACATGAAGAAACTAGGTTGACCACCATGGGTGAAAATCCCGATGAGAACTTCCTGGTGAAGACCAAAGGGAGACGCCTTATCAAAGAAAGCGAAACGCGCACAGAAGCGTACATTAGTAAGGGAGAAGCTTGCTGGACGACGACAACCGACAACAAGGATCGAGTGGAGATCCAGGAAGACAGCCCGAGAGGGCCGGTTTGCGACGAGAAGGAGAAGAAGCCCGACGAGGCCGCCGCTCCGACCCGAGTGCAAGGCACATCCGCGACATGCGGAGAAGAAACAAGGAAGTTCCCGCTCTCAGCGGAGGAAGCGTGCCAAAGTGGCAGCATGCCCGCAACGTGCGGAGGAGAAACATTGAACAACCCGCAATTGGCGGAGGAGACGTGCCAACGTGGTAAAATACCCGGAATGTGCGGAAGTGAAGGAACAACAACGTCCTAGAAGGATCCTGAGGCGGGTGCGCAACCACTCAGGATCCAGATTGGAAGACGAGAAGGCGCCTCCGAGGAAGTCGAAACAGGCCAAGACAAAGACAACGTTGCTAATGGAGCGAGAAGATTACACGAAAATACTGCCGAGGGGGCGAGGAAGACAAACTATAATGCCGCCGACGGAGCGAGGAAGACGAAGCAGAATACCGCCGAGGGGGCGAGGAAGACAAACGGGGCGCCTGCTGATGAAGCCGTGCCTAACAAGATGGAGGATGCAATCAACGACTCGGTTCCCCAGGACCCGGTCAAGGTTGCACAAGTGAAAGTCGTTGAACCCTTCCCGAGGGTTGCAGTTCGACAAGTGAAAGACCCACAGTCAATGTCGGGCGAAAAGGGCCAGCTTCCCGCAGAAAAGCTACCAAGGGAGTGGAACAACTCCCCCCCGGTGTTCTCGCCGGAAAAAATTGAAGCTATCGTGCGGGGGGACTTCGATGGACTCGCCGACGCGAGGCACGTGGACATCGAAGACCGATTGTACCCGATTACGCAGAATGAATTAAAAGCACAGGTTAAACACCTACGCCTACCGTCGTCGAGATGTCACACACGAAGAAATAGCATCGGTCATCACGAATGCCCTACGCAGACCACTCACTGAGGCTGACAAGGACCTATTTCTAGCACCAGCTGATATTGACAACCCCCACCGATGGTTAGACTGGTTTGCTGGCGCGTTGGCAACTTGTGAAGAGTCGCGAAGGGCGGATCGTGGCTTCGAAAATGCAAGGGTCGCAATCATCGGCACTACGCGATGGTCACGGATTCACCGAACGGTGCTCAAAAGTGTCGACATACCGGGGCTAGGACCAAAACCCGAGTCACACTGTCCTTCTTCGGTTTCCCCGACAACAACAGAGCATCACATGTGCTCCTTTATAGCTGAAAACCTGGAGGAGCAGCTACGAAGGTCTCGCCACCGACGGAAGAAAGTGTCATTTTCGGGCTGGGAGT